ATTTCTCTCTCACATCAATGTTTCTATCTCTCCCTTCTTCTCTCTCTAAAAAAAAAATCAATAAAAACATATTTTTTTAAAATCAAGTAAAAACTTAAATAGATGATCCTTCACATGAGGAACACTGTAGCTATCATGAAGGACGCAGCTCTGCATGCACTGAAGTGGAATGAGCTTTGAGATAAACCTAGTCAATAAAAAAGAAGGGAGCATGCAGGACAGTGTATATAGTATTTTCTTTTCATTTTTATTTATTTATTTTTTTTGTACGTGCCCCTAGCAGGAACTGAACCCAGGACTCTCTGGTCCGCAGGCCGACACTCCAACCTCTCTAAGCCAAACCGGCCAGGGCAGTGTACATAGTATTTTTTAAAAAAATTTTTCTTTATTGATTTTGGAGAGAGAGAGAGGGAGAGGGAGAGAGAGATAGAAACATCGATGAGAGAGAACATCGACTGGCCGCCTCCTACATGCCCCCCACTGGGGATTTGGCCCACAACCTGGGCATGTGCCCTGACTGGGAATCAAACCGTCAACCTCTTGGTGCATGGGTCCACGCTCAAACACTGAGCCACACCAGCCAGGCTATAATATTAAAGATAGTAAATACACCCGTCTATTTGTAAATACATTGACTGAATCTTAAATGATATGCTCGAGATTGCCACTGGCACTGTCCTGTGACAGGATGGAGATGGGGAGAGCATTCGGACCCTGGTGGCAAGAGAATAAAGCTAGAGGTAGCCTTACCTAAGTTTCTGGGCACTTGGGTAACCCATCCATGGTTCCCTTTCTAGAACCTCAGATATAGAACCCTTGAGGACATATATCTGACCCATCTTTGCCTTATTCTCAGTTCTTAGGCATACCCTTGGATATAACAGACAATGGAAATAGATTATCCCTTCTCCTTCTCTATCCAAGTCACCAAGTCTGTCGATAATAACAATGGCTATTATTAAGGGCTTGTTATACGACCTCAAAAAAATACATTCAGCATCTCACTTAACACTCATACCAACCCTAGAGGCAGGAACTATTATTACCCCCATTTTATAAACTTTGTTGACAGAACAAGGTCTCAATTTAAATCTTAGCTCCTCCACTTATTATCTATGTTATTCTAAGCAGTTAATTCACCTCTCTATGCCTTTATTTTTGCAAAACAGTGATAACCTTTTAAAGGTTTTTTCTTTTTCTTTTGGTGGTGGTGGTGTTTTTGGGTGGTGGTGGTGGGTGTGGGATGGTTGGAGTGATGGGGTGGGGTGTGGTGATGGTGGTAAGGTTATTTTTTAAATATGTTTTATAGATTTTTTAGAGAGAAGGGAGAGAGATGGAAACATTGATGCGAAACATCAATCGGCTGCCTCCTGCACTCCCCCTGCTGGGGACTGAGCTCACAACCCAGACATGTGCCCTGACAGGGAATTGAATTGGGACCTCTCAGTCCATGGGACAACACTCAATCCACTGAGCCACACCAGCTGGGCTAAAGGTTATTTTGAAGAGAAAATAAATTAATGTATAAAGAATTGGAATAGTGCCTGGAACTTAGTAGATATTATATACATATTAGATACTACTATTTTTCTACTCCAGCCTGAACCAAAGCAAGGCATTTGGACATTAAGCTGTACTGGCTCTCTCCACTGCATCTTTTATAGAAACACATCATTCATTCATTAAACAAATAATTTTACCATGGCTCCAAGAATACAGCAGAGAACAAAGTCTGTGTTCTCATGGCTGGGGAGGGATCAAACCAACAATGGCAGCCAAGAAACATGCCAGGTATTAAGTTCCTGGAGAAAACTTAGTGATGTGAGCCCTGGTCAGTTTGGCTCAGCGGTTAAAGCGTCGACCTGCGGTCCGGAGAGACCCGGGTTCGGTTCCCGCTAAGGGCACGTACTTCGGTTGCAGTTTGTCCCCGGCCCTGGTTGGTTGTGTGGGTGGCAGCCACTCGATGTGTCCCTTCACATTGATGTTTCTCTCTCTCTCCCTTCCTCTCTCTCTCTCCCACTCTATCTGTACAAAAAATGGAAAAATATCCTCGGGTGAGGATAAAAAAGAAAACTTAGTGATGTGAAAGGGTCTCTGGGTGGTACTTTTCATTGGGGAAATCCTTTTAAGAGGTTATATAAACTGAGATCTGAACGACAAAGAGCCAGCCATGCTAGTATTCCTAAAACTCATTGCTGTCACTTGATCATGCCCACTGCTCATCTCTCCAACCTCTTCCCATGAGTGCATTAGGCTCTGTGCCAAACTGCTTGGAAACACCAGGATCTTATTCTACCATGCCTTAGCTCATGCTGTTCTTTCTGCCCTGTCACACAGTAAGTGTCCTCTTAGCCACCCCTCCCCACATCCCCCTTCCCAGAGTTCAAAACGTGAATCTCCTCAGGGGTTCTCCTCAGATCTTCAGAAAGCAGGGTGTAGACCACTGAACTGGCCTCAACCTCCTCCCTGATCAGAGAGCCCCAGTGGGTGGCTGTGGGTTTCCTATACATTCAGTCCCGGAGTGTTCTAATAAGAACTGCAAAATAACTTGATTGCGCACAAGAATCCCCATGGGCCTTTGTTAAAATACAAAATCCTGAGCCCCAATCCAGTCCCCTTTAATTAGAATCTCCAGAGGTGACTCTGGACATTAGTTCAGCTGGGGAAATATCGTCATAGCTGAAGTTATCCTGGTTTGGTAGGAACAATTGCGTACCAAATGCACAGGATATACCCTAGGGAGGCTCTAAGCCAAGGAAGTGCTTTGGGTTAAGCTCAGCACCGATTTAGTTTGTCCCCAGTGACCTACAGGAATAACTGGCATAAGCATGACAGAGACTCTTCCTTCCTCCAAGGGAACCTTTTCCTTGGCTCCTGGACCTACTCCTGGACAATCTGGTGACAGTGATTTCTCTGCCACCACACTTTAGTGGGTACTTTAGTCCCAAATAACAGAGAACTTGTGAGTGGTCCAAGGCATGGGTCCTTGGTCTGTCTGACCAAGCTCCTTTCCCCACCCCACAGTTTACAACGCCCGCTGACCACCAGAAAGTCATTGTTCGGGGCTTCTTCCCCACCGGTGAAATAGTCTAGTGACTGAGGTTACTTGAGATGAAAGATGATATCTGTGCACTGCCCACGGCAAACCTCACAAATATACGCGACTGCCTTTATTAACAGCTCTCAGGAAGCAACTTCAGGTAGGTGGTCCGGGAGGGAATCCCCCGCAGACGGGGGGATTCTCTGGCCCTGGGGCTGGGGTGGGCCTCCGACTCTGGCGTTGAGAACTTAGGTCCGGGCTCGTCAGCAGGGAAACGGGGGCGAATTCCTTTCTCCGCTGGGAGGCTGAGCGTGGAGTGCGGGACGGGATGTGAAGGAAGTCGGCCCAGTACGATAGGATCCCGACTCATTCCGGAACGGGAGACGGTGAGTACCGCCGGCCCGGGAGATCCGCACACGCGGCGCCAAAAAATGTCCGTCGCACCGCGCAGGCTCCGCGAGTGCAGGCCGCGGAGGGGCACTTCGGGAACCGCGAGCCCACCGCCCAATCAGCGCCGACCTAGCACAAAGCGAATCCCACCCAGGGCGCCGAAACGGAATCTCCACCCTCTCCTTTGGCAGTTTTGGCCCGCCCACTCCCGCCCCGGCCCCGCCCCGCAACGTTTTCGACAGAGATTTACGATTGGCTCGTGGGATGAGCGCGAACTCTGGTTGGTTGAAAGGGAGTCACGAGGGCACAGTCGTCGCCTTTCCAGAGTCGATTACTGGGCAGGCTCAGTCTTTCGCCTCAGTCTCGAGCTCTAGCTGGTAGCGAAACGTACGCGCTCCGGAGCGTCAGTACCAGCGGCCGCCATCGACGTCGTTCGGTTCCTTTGGGCTCATCTGCGCCACTCACTCGCCACACACTCCGCAAGTCATAAGCCGCCATCATGGTGAAGCTCGCAAAGGTAGGAGGCCTTCCTCGCGCAAGCACAGACGCCGAGGCCTGTTTTCTAAGGAACGCGCGCGCGGCGCCGCGAGGAGGAGGGCCTGCGCGCCATCCCGGGCGCATTCGAGGGCGCCATGCTGCGGGAAGTCTCGCGTGACTAGTGCGGAGGTCTCGCGTGTTTTGGCCACTTAGTGGCGAGGTGAAGAGCTTCGGCAGGTGTTGCGGGTGGTTACTGCGGCGAGGAAAGACTTTGGGACTGAGCGAGGGGAGGGGGCGCCGGGCCTCGGGGTGGAGGGATGAGGCCAAACTCCTGGGGCACACGCGAGCGGGGCACCGCCTCCTGACGCACGTGCCGCGGAGGGCTGCCCGCCACGTGGGTCGTGCCGCGTGGGTCGTGGGGTGTACGGAGGGGACCGTGTCTTGAGGTGGGAAGCGGAGGGATTTCTTCATTTGGAGGCCCGCGGCCCATAGGACCTTGGACATGAGGTGGGCCCCGGAAGGGGAGGGAGGCCCTGCCGCGTGCGCTCTGCCAGGCTGCGCGCACGTGGTGGCCGACGAGATATTCCCACGTGGCCCCGGTGGGTCCGAAAGGGGCGGGGTTTCCCTGGGAAAGAAAAACTTGGTAAGACCAAAGATGTAGTTAGGTTAAGATACTATTTAAGTTGCCTTAAATTAAATTCAGAGGAGAGTGGGATAAGGTGCCAGAATTCACCGAAGGCTTTTTTAAGTTAGTTTCCTCCCAAGTGAAGGGTTGTGGGTGGTTGACCATTAAATGGTTCTGTTGTAGGCTACTGAGTGTTAAGAATTGTGCCTGATACAAGGATTTATCATGGAAGTATAACTTTAAAAACTGTGTGCCTTAATGACGGCAAAAGGAAGAGGGAGATCATTTCTTTGAAATTGTCTTTTTATTTAAGGTTGGTTTATGTTGTGATTTTTTTTTTTTTTTTTTTAAAAAAACTATGACAAGTGAGTTCTGAGAAAGGGAGACTGTGCTATGAAGAATGATGGCAAAATGTGAGTGGTCTGAAATGTGAGAGGCTTAATGTGCTAACAATCTTGTCTGTTGTAGGCTGGTAAAAATCAAGGTGACCCCAAGAAAATGGCTCCTCCTCCAAAAGAGGTAGAAGAAGATAGTGAAGATGAGGAAATGTCAGATGATGAAGAAGATGAAAGCAGTGGAGAAGAGGTAATTATGCATAATTCAATGCAGGGTGGAGAGTAAAAAATGGCATTGGATGTGTGAAAATACTGGCAAAAATAAGATGGTATTCATTTATGTCCTGTTGTAAGGGTTGAGTGTTTCTCAAGCTCTTCGTTGACCTGTCAGAATACCGTAAGTGTAGGTATTTGAATGGGCTTTGGAGAAAATATCTGGAGTCTCCTCCCGTTGTACCTCTGCAGGGCTTAGTGTGATGGTGTATTAAGTCATTTTTCCAGTTTCAACATGTTAGACCCACATGCTAGATGAGGAAACATTCTGGATAGCTAGCTGTCTCTTTTTTTCTTTTACATCTTCAATAGAGGTTATCTTTCCATGGATTTTCAGACAGTGGAAGGGACAGAGAGGGGGAGAGAGAGAGACAAATCGATTGATTGCCTTCCCCACAACCTGACCAGGGCTGGGATGGAACTGCAAGCGAGGCTCTTGCCCTTAGACCACAGTCAAATCCATGACTCTTCGATCTGCAGGGCAACAGCTAGCAGTCTTAAATGTGGCAGTCTGAGCATTATATTCAGGTCTGAGGTTAGCCTCCATGTAGTTTCTGTTCTTTGTAGGACATTTATAATACTGGTCACTGTTTAAATGTTGTGGAGTGAAGAATGCCACCTCCCTTTGTGCTAACGTTGACACTTTGGTACTCCTGGCTACTGTTGCTTAAAAGTTTGTCTTTAGTTTTTAATATACTTATCAACTTTTGTAGAGAAGAAGGGAGAGAGATAGAAACATACATAGGTTGCACCCTGCATAGCCCCTGCCAGAAACCCAGCCTGCAACCTAGGCACGTGTTCTGACAGGAATTGAACCAGGACCTCTCAGCCCATGGGATGATGCCCAATCCACTGAGCCACATTGGTCAATCTAGATTTTTTTCCTAACATATCACTTCATAAAACTGGTGGTCAACACAAAGTAGCTTTGAGTGAAATTTAAATGTATATAATGTAATCAAGCTAATTTTTAACTCTTTAATTGATACTAATTTTGCAAGGATTGATTGTCCAGCCTATTTGATGCTCATTTTATCTCTGGTCCTAAGATTGAGCTTTCAGTGAACTTGAAACCACCTTCCCAAATGATTTAATGATATTAAAGACTTAAAGCTTTAAGTTACAGAAATCAATTCATAATCCTTAAAGCAATATGTAAGGTTGGTCCTATTATTGTCAGTAGAGAACAAAAGTTGAGGCTTAAAAAAGTCTTGCCTAGGGTCATACAGTAGCAGATGGGATCCTGACTGTATTTTCAGGGTCTGTGAAGGGTGTGCTGCTTCAGAGCTGACATGATTAAGAGTATGAGGTACAGAAATTCACAGGTCTTGGTCCAGAGGTACTGGCAGTGTTATGGATTTGTTATGATTGGATATTTTACCTGGCAGAGGACTGTGACCTCACAAGTACACAGAAGGACATGTAACATAACCCTGTAGTTTAAAATGCTGGCAAATACCTAATGCGTGTGGTCTTAAAACAGGTAATACTCGAATTAATTTAGCGCTCATTTATGTGGATCAGTGCTTCGTTTTTGACTTTGAAAATGGACTCATAATTGTTTTTATTTAATCTTGAGGTGGTCATTCCTCAGAAAAAAGGCAAGAAGGCTACCACAACTCCAGCAAAGAAGGTGATGGTTTCCCCAACAAAAAAGATTGCAGTTGCCACACCAGGCAAGAAAGCAGTTGTTACCCCTGGCAAAAAGGCAGTGGCTCTGCCTACCCCTGGCAAAAAGGCAGCAGTTACACCAGCCAAAGCGGTAGCCACACCTGGCAAGAAGGGAGGCACACCAGGCAAGGCATTGGTAGCAACCCCTGGTAAGAAGGGAGCAGCCACTCCAGCCAAGGGAGCAAAGAATGGCAAGAATGCTAAAAAGGAAGACAGTGATGAGGAAGATGATGATGACAGTGAAGAGGGTGATGAGGAGGATGAGGATGAAGATGAGGATGAATTTGAGCCAACAGTGATGAAAGCTGCTGCCTCAGATGATGACGACGATGAAGATGAGGATGAAGACGACGACGACGATGATGATGAGGAGGATGATGATGATGAAGATGGTAAGGAGTTCTGATGGTAGTTATTGGGCTCTTGTTTGCAAGATAACATCGGGGGTAAGGTTGGGGAGGGATGGGCAACATGCAAACACTCTGTCCAAGACACCATGGGGGTTAGATAAAAATCCTCCCCAGGACTCTCTGGGCTGGTTGTATACTAGAGTGGTAGCCTGCCCCTGAGAAAATGTTTATGAGCACATTCTATGAGTAGTTTTCATAATACAGGGGTTTGCTCCCAAGAAATAAATGTTCATTGTGTTCATTACTAATCCCAGTATTGTATTCTACAATTTTTTCTTCAGGTTTATCTAACTTATGTTGGCTTGGGGATAATTCTCTCATTTTTAAAAAAATATTGAGTTAAAAGCATTTTATTTATTTATATTTTTTCTAATAATTTTTCTTTATTTATTTTTTTTAATTCCTCCCATGAGAATATTTTTTCATTTATCATCAGACAGAGTGGGAAGGAGGGAGGGAGAGAGACAGACAGAAACATCGATGTGATAGAGCCGCATCGAGTGGTTGCCTCCGGCACAACCCCATCAGGGCCAGGGATGAACCACAACTGAGGTACGTGCCCTTGACCAGACTCGAACCTGCGACTCATTGGTCCATGGGCCGACGCTCTAACTCTTGAGCCAAACCAGCCAGAACTCTATTTTTAGGGAAAGGGGGGAGAGAGAGAGAGAGAAATATCTATGAGAGAGAACACTGATTGGCCGCCTCCTGCATAACCCCCACTGGGGATTGGGCCCACAAACTGGGCATGTGTCCTGACCAGAAATCAAACTTGTGATCTCTTGGTGCATGAGTCAGTGCTCAACAAGTGAGCCACACCAACTGGGCAATTCTCTTGAGTTTTTGACTAGGTAGCTTCTCTTTCAGACTCTGAAGAAGAACCTATGGAGATTACACCAGCCAAAGGCAAGAAAGCTCCTGCAAAAGCTGTTCCTGTGAAGGCCAAGAGCACAGCTGAGGAAGAAGATGAAGAGGATGATGATGATGAAGAAGACGATGAAGAGGATGAGGAGGATGAGGAGGAGGAAGATGAAGAGGAGGAGGATGAGGATGAAGAGGAGGAGGAAGAAGGTAATTAAGTTAGATTCTGAAGTGTATTGGTGTGGGTATTATTTAAAGGAGGTACTTGAAAATATGTGGCTACTTATGGATGACAGATCATTTGAAATCTTGTCCAGAACCTGTCAAAGAAGCACCTGGAAAACGAAAGAAGGAAATGGCCAAACAGAAAGCTGCTCCTGAAGCCAAGAAACAAAAAGTAGAAGGTAATTTGGCAGAATTGTTGGGGGGGTGGCTCCTAATAGCACAAGTGATGAACAACAAAGGGACTTAATACTGAAACCTGATGTTACATTGCAATATGCTGATGTGCTGTGTATAGAAATTTGTATTGGAAATTAAGTTCATGCTGTACTTTATACATTAGATAAATTTGAATTCACTTTTTGTGCAGCCACAGAACCAACCACAGCCTTCAATCTCTTTGTTGGAAACCTGAACTTCAGCAAATCTGCTCCTGAATTAAAAACGGGTATCAGTGACGTTTTTGCTAAAAACGATCTTGCTGTTGTGGATGTCAGAATTGGTGTGTCTAGGTAAGTATGGGGAAGTTAGACCATAATATTTCTGCACGTTTTTACTGGGTGTGCTGATGCTTTTTCCTTCCCTTTTTAGAGCTTTAGCCTTTTACCTACCCTTAAGTATGAATGTGTTTCCAAAGTTCAGACATTAATGAATTGTTGTTTAGATTATCAAGTTCTAAAACCCCCAAGTTGGCCCTGGCTGGTTTGGCTCAGCGGTTGGAGTGTCCGCCTGCGGTCCGGAGAGACCCGGGTTCGGTTCCCGCTAAGGGCATGTACCTCGGTTGCAGTTTGTCCCCGGCCCTGGTTGGTCGTGCGGATGGCAACCACTCGATGTGTCCCTTTCACATCGATGTTTCCTTTCTCTCTCCATCTCTCCCTCCCACTCTATCTGTACAAAAAATGGAAAAAATAAAAAAAAAATAAAATAAAACCCCCAAGTTGAAATTTCCATAACTCTTGATATAACACATGAAATAATTTTTAATACGCTATGTGCTTTTGAAGCTTTTTTTAAAAAAATATTCAAAACTGTTAGATCCAAATAACCATGATAGTGAATGCTTTTAACCAGCCAGGATTCTCCTATCTTGATGCTTAAACAGGTTCTTTTGTTAGCTATTAATTATGAGCAGTGTAGCTAAAAGGACACTCTCAGAGGTGAACCTGCGTCAGATTAGGTCTTGGTACTTAGACCTTGCTCTGTATCCCCAGCTCTCAGAGCCTATATTGTAATAGAGTAGCTGCTTTTTAACTTAATCACTGCACCTTCACATTAGTGTTGCCGCTTGCCTAGAATACGTGTTCGTGTGGCTCTTGTTTTTTGTTTTTTTAAACCCGTAATTTTTGTCCTCTGCTTTATCACCTTGAAGGAAGTTTGGCTATGTGGATTTTGAATCTGCTGAAGACCTGGAAAAAGCCTTAGAACTCACTGGTTTAAAAGTATTTGGCAATGAAATTAAACTAGAAAAACCAAAGGGAAAAGACAGTAAAAAAGGTATGTGCTGCTTTAGGTAACTGTGATACTGATAAGTAACTGGTCAGTGGACATGGTTCTAGTCTAATTGGCTAGGTTAAATAGTTGAACCTTTTTCCTTTGGTTTTCTCATTGTGTTGTGAGGATTATATTAGAAAGCTAAATGTTTACAAGAGTGCCTGACACTGATTGTTGGTATAAATTCCTGAGTCAGTCAGCAAGAATGGACTTCATCGAAAAAAATTGTTTAGCCCTGGCCGGTTTGGCAGAGAGATTAGAGCGTCGGCCATGGACCGTAGAGTCCTGGGTTTGGTTCCCACTAAGGGCATGTACCTCAGTTGCATTTTGTCCCCAACCCCAGTTGGGGTCATGTGGTTGGTGACCTGTTGTCTCTCTCACATAGATGTTTCTCTCTCTCTCCTCCCTCTCGCTCTATCTTTAAAAAAACCAACCAAACAATTGTTTAGCCCTACCCCCTAAAGCTCAGGGCTTGGTTGGGCAGCAAAGGGTCATTTGATTCCTGGTTGGGTGTATTGCAGGAGGCAGCTGGGCAAGGTTCACATTCTCACATTGATGTTTTTCTCCTCTTCTTCCCTCAGTCTCTAAAAAGTCATAAAAATGTATTTTAAAAAAGGAAACCACTAAATAAAAAATCAGTAAAAAGAAATTACTTGAGCCCTGGCCAGTTTTGTTCAGTGGTTAGGGCATCAATCTGTGGATCAGACAGTCTCGGGTTCAATTCCCGGTCAAGGGCTTGTACCTGGGCTGCGGGTTTGATCGCAGGGAGGCAGCTGATGGATGTGTGTCTGTTTCACATCTGTGTTTCTCTGTCTCCCTTCCTGCCAACCACCCATTCTATCTAAAAATCATTGGGAGAGTATTCTTGGGTGAGAAATAACAAAAGAAATTTCTTTTTTTAAATTTACTTTTTTATGGATTTTAGAGAGAGAGCAAGGGAGAGGGAGAGAGATCGATGAGAGAGAAAGAGCATCGACTGGCCACCTCCTGCATGCCCCCCACCGGGGATTTGGCCACAGCGTGGGCATTTACCCTGACCGGAATCCAACCAGCGACCTCTTGGTGCATGGGTCGACACTCAGTCCATTGAGCCACACTGACCGGGCAAGAAATTTCTTTAAAAACAATTGTTTAGCCCTGGCCGGTTTTACTCAGTGGTTAGAGCATCCACCCGCGGTCCAGAGAGACCCAGGTTCGGTTCCTATCTAAGGGTACATATCTTGGTTGCGGTTTGTCCCCAGCCCCCGTTGGGGTTGTGCGGGAGGCAACCATTTGATGTGCCCCTTTCACGTCGATGTTTCTTTCTCTCCCTTTCTATCCTTCCCACTCTTATCTGAGCAAAAATGGAAACATGTACTCAGGTGAGGATTTAAAAAAAAAGTGTTTGGGTGTACAGGCATATACTGGAGATATTTTGGGTTTGGTTCTAGACCACTGTTATCAAGTGTCCCAATATAGGAGTTGGAGCCTTTTTGCTGGTGGGGGGATTTGTGAAGCACAATAAAGTGAAATGAAAAAAAAGATATGCCTGTACCTAAATTAGCATAGAAAGGCCCTTCCTCACTGGAACTGGTTTTGTGTCAGTTGTGACAGCAGCTCGTGTCCTGCCACTGCTGCATGTTTATACTTAGCCGGATCTCAGATTATTTCTTAAACAGAAGTTTTTTATTGGTCAGTATCTTGAGGGGAGGAGAAAGGTGTTTTAACCTATCTAATTAATTTTGTTTGTTTCATCTAGATCGAGATGCAAGAACACTTTTGGCTAAAAATCTGCCTTATAAAGTTACTCAGGACGAATTAAAAGAAGTGTTTGAAGATGCTATGGAGATCAGATTAGTCAGCAAGGATGGAAAGAGTAAAGGGTATGTTTTGTGTTGATTAGAATGTTAGGAATTTTATTAAATTAACACACTTCTAATTTATAAAAGAAACGTGTCAACTGTTGTATGTTTTTTTCTTTTTTAGTTGTATGATTTTAGGCAAACAGTTTATAACTATATTATGCCTCAATTTCCTGTCTTGATAGTGGGGATAACGTACTTGTCAGTTATTTTAAAAGATGAGTTAATATGTATAAAGCACTGCAAAATGTGCCCAGTGTACTGTGATTGCTTTGTAAGTAAATGGCAGTTCTTGAAGTGAGGCTTACCGTGAACACAATTTCTAGGAGTACTTGGCAGACCTTGTGTATTGGGAAGAAAGTTTTAATTGAAAAGTGGAAGATGGCAGAAACCACAAACATTTCAGTTAGTTGAAATAGGACTTTTTATTGTACTCAACTGAAGCAAAGTCATATTGCTAACATTAAAACATTTTTGTTAAAATTAATACAGTTTTAAAATTAAGCAAATTCTTTGTTTTTTAACCCTCTTTTTGCAGGATTGCTTATATTGAATTTAAGACAGAAGCTGATGCAGAGAAAACTTTGGAAGAAAAGCAGGGAACAGAAATAGATGGGCGATCCATTTCCCTGTACTATACTGGAGAGAAAGGTCAAAGTCAAGACTACAGAGGTGGAAAGAATAGCACTTGGAGTGGTAAGAATTTATAGGCTTCCAACAGGTTTCCAGAATTGATGGAAAGAAGTCCTTTGCATCTTTGAACTTTAATATAAGTTGACTGATTGGATATAGTTGTAGGTTGAGCCCATTCCACTTGTATTTGTAATAGTAATTCTGTTTTGATTGAGAGCTATAGGAAATCATTTTGCATTAGAACAAGGGTGGGGAACCCCGGCCCAAGGGCTGTTTAAGGCCTCCGAAATCAATACCAGCCAACATCACACACCTCACCAAATTACCTTGGCCAAATGTAGTAGGGTAATTTTTTAAGTTGATAATTTTGAATGATGTTATAAATATCCAAATGGCCCTTGACAGAAAAATGGTTCCTTACTCCTGCTAGAACATATATAAATCTAACTTCCTTTGTATGTTTTATATTGTAAATGACTTGCGTACATTTTAAAATTAGAATATTGTTCTAGGAAGATATAGACCAGTAGTTAGCTTCCACTTCTGAATAACAGGAACGAAGGAAGCAGGAGGTGTAACAGTGCATAATAGGTATTCAGTATGTTGAGACAGTTGGTCTGGGATTCCATCTGCATCAACATTAGCATGTTAACTCTTAAGCACAGAAATTCTTAAGAAGATAGAGCTGTGACTGAAGTTGTGAACCACTGTTTCAGTCTTAATTTGGCATCTCTTTTATTTGTAGGTGAATCAAAAACTCTGGTTTTAAGCAATCTTTCCTACAGTGCAACAGAAGAAACTCTTCAGGAAGTATTTGAGAAGGCCACTTTCATCAAAGTACCCCAGAACCAAAATGGCAAATCTAAAGGGTAAAATAAATTGTATTTTTGTGTTGACAGTTATGGGCTGTAAGAGTGTCTTGCATAGGTGTAATCGTGTTTTCTTGGCTGTTAGAAGCCAAATCATTTTAGCCAAACAAATCAGTATAAAATAAAGAAGCATGGTTTAGGTGCTTGTGGAAAAAGGCTTGTGGTACCAGATATGATTGCAGAGGAGCCATGAGATTGGTAACTTGTAAATATTGACTGTTTTCCTCAGGTATGCATTTATAGAATTTGCTTCATTTGAAGATGCTAAAGAAGCTTTAAATTCCTGTAATAAAAGAGAAATTGAGGGCAGAGCAATCAGGCTGGAATTGCAAGGACCCAGGGGATCACCTAATGCAAGAAGCCGTAAGTTACAATTACCAGGATATCGTGGTTAAAGGGCCAGCTCTCCTCAGTGCAATGCTTTAACTTCAGTCATATCTAGAGGTGAACATTTGTTTTTTCTGTTGCTGCTGAGTAAATGACACTGGATATGATGATGACTGATTATCTGAGAAATAATTGATGAAATCCCAACAAAATTCCTCTAGATAGTCAAGTTCTGATCCAGCCACCTCAGCTCTGAGCAGCAGATTTGCCTATGGTTTACTGCCCTCTGGTGGTTGTAGCTGCCAGCTTTAAGGTCTATTGTCTCACTTGTTCAGGTTGGCTTTCCTGCTTTCCATAAATGATCTGCTTTGGGGGTCAATGTAGACTTGAGATGGCAGTAGATTTTTTTTTTTTTTTTAATCCTCATCCGAGGACATTTTTCCATTTTTTGTACAGAGAGAGTGGGAGGGAGATAGAGGAAGAGAGAGAGAGGGAAACATCGATGTGAAAGGGACACATTGAGTGGTCGCCACCCACACAACCAACCAGGGCCGGGGACAAACTGCAACCGAGGTACATGCCCTTAGCGGGAACCGAACCCGGGTCTCTCCAGACCGCAGGCGGACGCTCTAACCGCTGAGCCAAACCGGCCAGGGCGAGATGGCAGTAGATTTAAACCCTTTGTTTTCATTAAGCATCAGTTGGCTAAGATTACCTTCTTTTTCTCATGAAGACACTTAAAATGTACGACAAGCATTCTTGGCCAGTAGTCATTCTAAACATCATATAAATCCAGCATGTCATTATGAATTGTGGTTTTAAATAAAGGATGATTTTGTTTTTTTCTTCCCCAGAGCCATCCAAAACTCTGTTTGTCAAAGGTCTGTCTGAGGAGACTACAGAGGAGACGTTGAAGGAGTCATTTGATGGCTCTGTCCGGGCAAGGATAGTCACTGACCGGGAGACGGGCTCTTCCAAAGGGTAGGTGCAGGAGTATATAGTGTCCATGAGTGGGCCCTCCTGTCTAATATGTCTTCTCATTGAGCTCCTTTCTGTCGCTCTGTGGCAGTTTATGGATTCGCACGAGAAGAAGAGAAAATTCACAGAGCTAGCATTATTTTGCCTCCTGTCTTCAAGAGGTATATTTTGCTGTTTTATGAGACATTCTGGCATTTACGCTGTTAGTGAACCCAGTTTCAGCTTCCCAGAGACCTACTCTTGTCACTTGGGTCTTTTCACAGTTGAGCAAGGCTACTTTTTAGGGCATCACTGTCCAATATGTGAGCTTTACTTTGGCATTACAGTGAAACCTTGGTGCTCGAACGTCTCCCATCTCCAACAGTTAGTTCTAGACCAAATTGTTCATGGAAAAAGTGTCTCAATTTTCTAACACCACTTCTGACCTGGCAACACATCTGTACTGCTACATCAGCATGACAAAGCCTTTCTCAGGCCACAAAGGAGAGAATGGGAGTCAAGTCAGTTTAACATATCAGTAAGTTGTGCTGTTACTATTATTTATTTTTTGCTTTTGTTGATGGTGAAATGGATTGGCACAGCTTTTTTTTTTTTAATCCTCACCCGAGGACATTTTCCCATTTTTTTTTGTTCAGACAGAGTGGGAGAGGAAGAGAGAGAGAAACATTGATGTGAAAGGGACACATCGAGTGGCTGCCACCCACATGACCCAGCCGGGGCCGGGGACAAACTGCAAGCGAGGTACGTGCTCTTAGCGGGAAATGAACCCGGGTCTCTCGACTGGAGGCTGGCGCTGTAACCACTGAGCAAAACCAGCCAGGGCAGATCGGCACAGCTTAAAAACATGAAGAGACCAGCAAGTGTGCTGATGTTGCTACAGGTGTGAAAATGCTCACAAAACAACCACAGGCAATTGATGAGGTAGAAGAAAGGCAGGGATATGTGGGGAAGATATTGCACCCCTGCAACCAGTGATTCATTTAAGGCTAATAGGGTGTGGTTTGATAAATTCAAGAAAAGAAGTATTTGGTCATAGAGTAAATAGCACATTACAGGTCTGTATATAAGAAAGGTTAAAACAGTCGTTTAGGGAGTCTGGAATGGATTAATTCAATTTACATTATTTTTAAAATATGTTTTTATTGATATTTTTAGAGGAAGGGGGAGAGAGATAGAAACATCAATCGGCTGCCTCCTGCATGCCCCCCACGGGATTTGGCTTACAACCTGGGCATGTGCCCTGAACAGAAATCAAACCTGGGACCTCTTGGTGCATAGATCAACGCTCAACCAGTCAGCCACTCCGGCAGGGCCAAATTTACATGATTTCTAATGGGCAAATTAAGTTCAAGAACTGAGGTTCCACTGTATTCCGTATATGTCTCTTTGTTTTATAATGGATAATTTCATTTGTTTTAGGTTTGGTTTTGTAGACTTCAACAGTGAAGAAGATGCCAAAGCTGCCAAGGAGGCTATGGAAGATGGTGAAATTGATGGAAACAAAGTTACTTTGGACTGGGCCAAGCCTAAGGGTGAAGGTGGCTTCGGGGGTCGCGGTGGAGGAAGAGGAGGCTTTGGAGGCCGAGGTGGTGGCAGAGGAGGCCGAGGTGGATTTGGTGGCAGAGGCCGGGGAGGTTTTGGAGGTAAGAAGCATAGACCTCAGTGTGCACACTGGTACTAGGGAAACCTGGCAGTTTGTACTTGTTCTTTAATGATGTCTTCCTGTCCTACAGGTCGAGGAGGCTTCCGAGGAGGCAGAGGAGGAGGAGGAGACCACAAGCCACAAGGAAAGAAGACGAAGTTTGAATAGTTTCTTCTATCCCTGTCTTTCCCTCTTCCATTCAAAGAAAGGACTCTGATGTTTTTACTCTGTTACCTGATCAATGACAGAGCCTTCTAAGGACATTCCAAGACAGTATACAGTCCTGTGGTCTACTTGGAGATCTGTTTAGATAACATTTCAAAGGAGATACCCTGTTGGTTTTGACTGGATATTCGTATAAACTTTTTAAAGAGATGAGTGATAGAGCTAACCCTTATCTGTAAGTTTTGAATTTATATTGTTTCTTCCCATGTACAAAACCATTTTTTTCCTACAAATAGTTTTTTTGTGCGTGTGTTGGGGTATAAAGGCAAGCAGAATGTTTTATCATGATTTTGCTTCAGCAACTTTGGGACAAATTAAAAGTCCTAAACTCTGGTGCCAGACTGTATTTTCCGAGTGTTTCTACCGGAGTATCGCTGCAGGCGGAGCACGGCAAGCCCAGCTCCGCCTCTTCAGGTCCACGCCACCCCTGGTGGGAGTGCTTGTGCTCGGCTTTCAGTGCCTCAGCCACACGTTTGGTGAAATGAAAGTCTCCTGCGTCTTCTGCTTTGAGCTGGTCTGAGGGTTCAGTGTGTCCTGACCAGTGCTCGGGAAAGTGGGGGACAGGAGCCCTTCTGTTAGGCCTCCTTAGATATGCAGCAGAGAGAATGCATTCTGGAATAGTCGGTGACTAATAAATAGAATCCATGCTGGACCAATGGGGCTTTGGGACTGTGAGGCTGGGGAGGAAACTACCAATGTAGTAGGTGGACCTGCCTTTTTTTCCCTTTTACTGATTTTTAGAGGCGGGCGGGGGGAGAAATATCGATGAGAGAAAACTTCAATTGGTCGCCTCCTGCATGCCCACACTGGAGGTTTGGCCCACAACCTGGGCACGTGTCCTGACAGGGAATCGAACTGGATTGATGCTCAGCCACTGAGCCACACTGGTGGGGTGAACCTGCTATTTTTTGTAAGTCTTCCAGCAACCTCAGGTAGTACCTGTTCTGATTTATTAAGCATTCCCTTCTCTCCTCCCCCTACCTCTACTTTTGTTAAAAGTTAAAGGCTGGAGCCCTGGCTGGTTTTGCTCAGTGGTTAGAGTGTCAGCCTGGGGTCCAGAGAGACCCGGGTTCGGTTCCCGCTATGGGCATGTTACCTTGGTTGCGGTTTGTCCCCTGCCCTGGTTGGGTTGTGTGGGAGGCAGCCACTCTGTGTCCCTTTCACGTCGATCTTTCTCTCTCTCTCCCCCTCCCACTCTTATCTGAACAAAAAATGGAAAAATGTCCTTGAGTAAGGATAAAAAATAAAAATGGTGAGATGCCCAGGTCAAAGGAAGACTAAGATGATGAATTTAATTGAAATGGTTGCCCCAGATGGTTCAAACCTCAGCTTTGTGCCCCAACAGCCAACTCCAAAAGTCAGTGGACTCAACTACCTGTTTACTCATCGGACTAGTAAAAATGAAATAAAAATGTGATGCTGATAGAATTCAGTCAACTTACAGGGCAACCAACCTAAAGGGTGTAAATGGGTAGTTTTGTCTTTTTTTTTTTAAATGTTTTGGTTGATTTTTCTTTTTAGAGAGAGGGAGAAACAGTTGGCTGCCTCCTGCATGCTACCCCCTACTGGAGACCAAGTCCACAGCCTAGGCATGTGCCCTGACTGGGCGTCAAACAGGGACCTCTCAGGCCATTGGACAAAGCCATCATCTTTCTGCCACTGAGACCAGTCCTGTTCCAAGCACTAAGGATTTGGAGCAAGACAAAGGCTTTCTTTCAAGGGATAAGCGTGCCAATAAAGGTTCCATGCTGCCAGGCATGTCCATCGACGGGAACCCAAAACAAGTGAACCAGCAGCCTATTTTTCTAGACTTTTAAGTCTGTTAGAGCCCATCAGGCATGTCATGGGGTTATAAGTCTCGGCTTTTAAACAAGGATGAGTGGAGTTAGAATTGAACATGTCAAAAGTTATCTTGTTAGTAACAGTCCCCCCGAAACTACTGTTTAGGGTCTGAGTGGTCTCAGGATCTCCTGGGACCCATCAAGGATGACTGGTAAGGCCTTTTCCCAAGTGGGTACCTGCCTTGGCTGGCTGCTTTTCTCTACTTTTGGCAGGCCTTTGGGTGTACATAAACCTGAAAATGTAATAGGCATTTGGACCACCTAGGAGCATTAATTAGGATTGTAACTAGCTCAGGCCCGACAGTCCATGCTTATTCGATGCTTGTATGACTTGAGAGCTTGGAGTAGGGTTTTGGTGGCTTCCCTTACTAAAGGGAGGGAAAGGAAGGCTTGAACCTGACCTGATGGAGTTCCTGGCTCCTAGGGTCGGGGCTGTGCTATGAGATACCTGTCCTGCCCAGCCGGTGTGGCTCTGGGTTGAGCATCATATGCACTCAGAGGACCTGGTTCGTTTCCCAGTTGGTTGGGGCCAGGTTTCAGGCTTGATTCCCCAGTGAGGGGGCCTGTGGGAGGCAGCCGGTTGATGTTTCTGTCTCCCCCTCTAAAAATATCAAAACATTTTGTTTTTTAAATCCTCTCTGGAGGATGTTTTTACTTCTACAGACTGGGAAGGAAAGAGAAGTAATGATGTGAGAGTCACATCGACTGACTGGTTGCTACCCACACAACCTCAGCCAGGGCTGGGGACGAACTGCAACCGAGGTACATGCCTTTGGTCTGTGGGCTGATGTTCTAATCAAACCGGCCAGGGCAATAAAAACACTTTTAAAAAGGAGATACCTGTCTTATGTTAGAGTTGGTCTTCACCTCTGTAAGACAATGCCAATATTGTACCCACAATGTGGGCCAAAAAACTTTAAGGTTCTTCCTGCTGTTATTTTCCTCCCCATTAAGGGATGGAACCAGCACAGCCCTGTTAACTGGTGGTTCCACCGGTGTGCTGATTTCCAGTGGAATGAAGAAGAGGATGGAGGATGGTTACCCTGCGAGACTGCAGAGTGCTAGGGCTTGCGTTTAGAGTGTGAAGCCCTGTAAACATCCCAGGCCTACATGGTATGTGCCTGGTTTCTGATTTTGTGGGTTGGATGAGGACTGTGCAGCCATTTTAGAAAAACAGTTCCTTTCAGGAAATGGTTGTTGCTACTTTTGTCATTCTTCCAGCAGGTGGCAGCACACCCACAAAGATGTGGAAACCTGATGGACGGTGTCAGGAGGCCTGAAGATTCATTTCAGGCCAGTGGGTCTTGAACTCCAAACTCAGATTAGTGATAGGGCCTGGGAATCTGCAGGAAGTCCACTGAAGACACTTGGAGGTGCTGCAGAATCCTTGAAGTGGGTTCTCATTGGCTCCAACAACTAAAGTGTATTGCATGTTTCTAGACTCTTATTTTTTTAAATGATAGAGGTTTCAGGTTTGAAGTATTTTTGTCTTTATTGATTTTAGAAAAAGGAAGAGAAAGGGAGAGAGAGAAACATTGATGAGAGAGAACATCTATTGGCCGCCTCCTGCATGCCCCCCACACTGGGGATTGAACCCACAACCTGGGTATGTGCCCTGACCAGGAATTGAACCGGTGACCTCTTGGTGCATGGGTCAACATTCAACCACTGAGCCACACCCGTCGGGTCTCTGTGCTCTTTGAGTTATCCCTTTTATCCACATTTGGTCCACTGCTATCTCAACCTTTCTCTCTCCACCAAACTGTTCCTCTTCCCTTCATAGCCAGACTGAGAAGGACCACACTCCTTGTCATTGTGGCTTTGGTCCCCATCCCCCTACTCTTCTGGTGTTCAGTAAGGGTGCCAATCAAGGCTGCAAATCCAGTGGTCAGTCTTCTCTGTTTATGGCTTCCCTGGAGCATCTGACAGATGATCCCCCCTTCCTTCCCCCCTCTTCTCCACACTTCCAAGATGGACAGACACACCAGCGTAGTGGCTCTGACAGTAGGCTGAAGTGGAGAGGGAAGAAAAAGAACAAATAACCTTGAGATTAGGGCCTGTCTCAGCAGACTGATTTTAACCAATTAATGGATGTGAACCAAAGGCTGTTCCTCATAGGCCAGGTAACCCAGAACTGCAGGAGAAAGGCCTGGGCACTTCATTGCTGGTCCCTCTACATGGAAACATGAACACGTTCCCGCCAACCCGTGGGTCTAGAACAGTCCCTGACAGCAGTTGCTCAGCGATGAATGAACCTTGGAGAAACTCCTTTCCCCCAGCTGCAGCGAACCTGTGGTGGCGGTGGGAGAGGGTTTGGGCCGAGAGTTGCTAATGCATATTTAAACCATTTTGTGTTGGGAATTTTTTGGGTAGTGGTAAAAACCTTTGAACACCTCTTAGAATATGTTTTCCAGTCATTTTTAAGTCACCCGTGGACGTACTTTCATTGTTTTCTTAGAGAAACATTGATGTGCAAGAGGAACATGGACTGATTGCCCCTGTAGACACCCTGACTGATGATCGAACCTGTAATCTAGGTCTATGCCCTGACTGGGAATTGAACCTGCAACATTTTATTTTATTTTCATCCTCAACCGAGGACATTTTTCCATTTTTTTGTTCAGATAGAGTGGAAGGGAAAGAGGGGAAGAGAGAGAAACATCGATGTGAAAGGGACACCCGCACGACCCAACCAGGGCCAGGGACAAACTGCAACCGAGGTATGTGCCCTTAGCGGGAACCGAACCCAGGTCTCAACGCTCTAACTGCTGAACTAAAGCGGCCAGGGCAAACCTGCAACATTTTAGCATATGGGATGATGCTCCAACCAACTGAGCCATCTGGCCAGGGCTCAAAATCATTTTTTAAAACAGGATTACAAGGGGAAACAACTTATTAGAATCGTTAAATATTTAAGAATAACGTTTGTGATAGAATTATATGTGTGGATGCATTAAATAAGATGCACTGATATTCAAAGTACAGTTAAGTTCCGGCCAGTGTGGCTCGGTGATTGAGCGTTGACCCATGCACCAAGAGGTCACCGGTTTGATTCCTAGTCAGGGCACATGCCCAGGTTGTGGACTAAATCCCCAGTGGGGGGCATGCAGGAGGCGGCTAATAGATGTTCTCTCTCATCGGTGTTTCTATCTCTCTCTCTCTCAAAAATAAATTTAAAAAATTTTTTTTAATTCAAAAACAAGATACAGTTAAGTTAGATCCTTTTGTAGGTCATAAGCGTGATGATTGGTTCTTCATACTTTTCTATGAGACGTGCCTCCCACAAAACCTTATGACTTTGGCACATTACCCATCTGACACAAACTTAAAAAGATAAAATACAGCCCTGGCCAGTTTGGCTCAGCAGTTAGAGCTTCGGCCGGCGGACCAGAGTCCCAGGTTTGGTTCCCGCTAAGGGCACGTACCTTGGTTCCAGGTTCCAGTTTGTCCCAAGACCCGATTGGGGTCTGGGTGGCAACCAGTTGATATGTGTCTCTGGCATCGATGTTTCTCCCTCCCATTCTACCTGAAGATAAATGGAAAAATATTCTCAGGTGAGGATAAAAAATTAATAAAAATAAGCTAAGTTAGGGGGTTGGTTCTGGTAATGGTGGAGTGGCTTCTAACAGACTAACCTTCCTGCTGATGGTTATACATTCTGGACAAATGTAAAACACCAACTTTTGGAGCTGTTGAAAGACAGTGCCGGAAACCGAAGCGGATACCATGCTTGAAGTAAGGGCAGGCCCGAGGAAGATCCGTTCAACCTGCCTTCCCCTGCAGGCACCCCCGTCGGCGATTCCTCGGCACAGCATCTAGGCCGAGAGGGTCTCACTTCCCTGAGTCACGTTGGAGTTTGCGTCTGGACATTTTTCTGAAAATGAGGCATACGGAGGAGAAGGCTGTAAAATCTGCTGGCTCTACTTGCCTCAGGTTCTTGGCGAGTCCTAAACGTATGCGGACACGCGGGGCAGCAGTCTAGTGAGCCCACGGAACACAGCGGAGGGAGCTGCGGCGGACTCCAGCAGCCGCCTGTGCAGGACAGAGTGCAGTTCAGTTCTGCCCAGCTAGGGGTTCGATAAACACTTCAAGTTTCTCTTCGAAACTCTGAAGGGCCGTATTTTAGAAGTAACCGTCATGTTCCAGGCCTAAGGACTAAACCCTAGCACTAAGGGCAAATGCAGAACCAAAATAGACTCATCCTAACAAAGCCTAAAACTAAGCCCCCACATAATGAAATCTGTGGAGGGTTTAATTGGACACGAGAACAAAATTCTACAGTGTTCAGAGGAGGGTAACAGAGTCCAAACTATAGTGTATAATGTACAATATCCAGTAGGCAAAAATTACTAGACGTGTAATGAAGAACAAAAATGTCCACAATTGAGAAAAAAGGTCAACGAACAACTCATGTTGAAATTTGTAGGCAAGGACTTAAATCATCATGAATGATATAAAAAAAATGATTTTTCAGTTCTGGCCAGTGTGGCCCAGTTGGCTGAACACCCTCCCATGTACCGAAAGGTAGCTGGTTTGGTTCCTGGTCAGGGCACATACCCAGGTAGTGGGTTCCATTCCTAGTCGGGGTGCACGCATGAGGCAACCAATCAATGTTTCTCTCCCTCTCCCTTCCTAAGATCAATAAAAACATTTAAATATTTATTTTCAGGAAAAGGTGAACATACTGAATGAAGAAAAGGGGAATTACGAGAGAGAGATGGATACTTTAAGAAAAAAACCAAATGGAAATTCAAGAACTGAAAAGAATTTACTAGAAGAGCTTAACAATAGGAAAAAAAGTCATCTAGGAGGGAGACAGGTCATAGAAATGACTGGCAGAGTTCAGGACATGCTACCCCAAAATATGGCCCCTTGACATCTTGAACGTTTTAAGCTAGAGGGATCTAAGAACCAGCAGGTGTAGGAAGGACTTCCTGACCTCCCCCTGACGGAGATCTGAGAACCCTCGTGGGAGAGGTGCCCTCTCTAAACCCAGAGGGAAGGAGCGGCCTTATGGCTGAAGACAGGGACACTGAGAGGGAATTTGAAGGGACAGACCTTGCCGCTTCCCCCAGTTTATTACACTAACCTCATATCTTTTTTTTGGTCCTATCACATGTTCCACTACTCTCCACTCTTCATCAAACCTAACAAAAGAAAGTTGGATTTATCTGTTTCTTCAGATGTTCATTTCCTCATAAAGGTTCTCGTTATATTTTATTTGTATGCTCTTATTGATCTGTCTTTTATTACAGAAACCCCAGCCAAGAACTTAGAAGGGTAGAGGAAAAGGATATTTTTCCTCATGTACCTTATTCAACCAGAAGCCCGAAGAGGAAAAAGATTGGGATAAAGTGAGCAGAGCCTCGGTGACAACATCAACCCGCGTAACTGAATGGAAGAAGGAGAGAGGAGGATGAATGGGACGGAAAGACAATCTCAGAAAAATAATGGCTGAAAAATTTCTACATTTGGTGAAAAACAACTCATGGACTCAAGAAGAAAGCCACACCTCACACATCGTAACCGAACTGTTGAAAAACAAAGACAAAAAAAACTGTTTATTTACTTATTTATTTTATTTATTTTTATCCTCACCGGAGGACATTTTTGCATTTTTATCTTCAGATAGAGGAGGGAGGAGAGAAGGAGGAAGAGAGTGAGAGAAACATTGACGTGAGAGAGACACATCAACTGGCTGCCACCCACATGACCCCATCTGGAGCCAGGGACAAACTGCAACCAAGGTACATGCCCTTAGCAGAAACCGAACCTGGGACTCTGGTCCGTGGGCCGACACTCTAACCTCTGAGCCAAACTGGCCAGGGCTTTATTTATTTTTTAATCCTCATATTTTTCATTGATTTTCAGATAGAGTAGAAGGGAGGAAGAGAGAGAGAAAATCATCGATGTGAGAGAGACACGTTGATTGGTTGCCTCCCGCACAACCCAGCCCAGGGCCGGGGATTGAACTGCAATGGAGGTATGTGCCCTCAGCTCTTTGGTTCCCTGGCCGACACTCTAACTACTGAGCCAAAACCGCCAGGGTGAGAAAGAAAAACTTAAAAAAAAAATTTTTTTTTTTTTTTGCCCTGGCCAGTTTGGCTCAGCGGTTAGAGCATCAGCCTGTGGTCCGGAGAGACCCGGGTTCAGTTCCCGCTAAGGGCACGTACTTCATTTGCAGTTTGTCCCCAGCCCTGGTTGGTCGTGCGGGTGGCAGCCACTCGATGTGTCCCTTCACGTCGATGTTTCTCTCTCTCTCCCTTCCTTTCTCCCTCCCACTCTATCTGTACAAAAAAATGGAAAAATATCCTCGGGTGAGGATAAAATATATATATATATATATATATTTTTTTTCTTTATTGATTTTAAAGAGAGGAAGGGAGAGAGAGAGAGAGATGGAAACATCGATGAGAGAGAACATCAATTGCCACCTCCTGCATGCCCCCTACTGGGGATTTGGCCCTCAACCTGGGCATGTGCCCTGACCAGGACGTCTTGTTGCATGAGTCAACGTTCAACCACTGAGCCACACAGGCTGGGCTAAAGAAAAACTTTTAAACAGTGAAACAAAACAAAAAAAACCCATGACATGCAAAGGAGCATCTATAAGAGTAATGACTAAATTCTCATCAGGAAAAATATAAGACAATAAATGATTCCTTTAAAGTGCTAAAAACAAAACAAAACAATCTAGAATTAATCTCCAAAATACTCTTTAAAGCTGAAGGAGAGACCAAAGGACAAAAACCCATAAAATCCACAACAGAAAATAAAAATAAAAATGTAAACATGAAGGAGAAATAAGTCATTTTCAAGTAACTGGAGCTGGGACGTGGCTAAATGGAAGTATATGGCTTTAACATCCTTGTATTACACTGAACTAGTATAACGTTAGTTCAAGGTAAACTGTGATAAGTTGCAGCTGCATATTGTAACTCTTATAGCAACCATTAAATCAAATAATACAGAGATAATGCTGAAAAGCCAATAGAGAACATGGAATACTAATTCCAAAGAGATGAAATACTAAAAAATAACGCAAAATGAGGCATGCTAGAACAAGGATTAATGAAACAATAGAAAAGAAATAGCAAGATGATGGCCTAATGGATGAATGAATTACTCATAATAATTATATGTGTGAAATGGACTGAACAAAAGGCAGAGATTGTCAAACGATGAAAAATACAAGAACTATTATAAGCTATTTATAAGAGATGCCCATTAAATATAAAGAAAAAGACAAGTGCCCGGCCAGTGTGGCTCCGTGGTTGAGCGTCGACCCATGCACCAAGAGGTGGCCGGGTTGGTTCCTGGTCAGGCACATGCCCAGGTTGTGGGCTCGATCCCCAGTGTGGGGTGTGCAGGAGGCAGCCAGTCGATGTTCTCTCTCATCCATGTTTCTCTCTCTCCCTCTCCTTTTCTCTCTCTCTAAAATAAATAAAAATAAAAAAATTACTAAAAAAAAAAAAGAAAAAGACAAGTTACCCTGAGCAGTTTGACTCAGCAGTTAGAGTGTCGGCCCGAAGACCGAAGGGTCTCAGGTTTGATTCCCAGTCAAGGGCATGTACCTGGGTTGCAGGTTTGATTCCTGGCCACAGATGGGGGTTGTGTGGGAGCCAACCAATCAAATTGTCTCTCTCATATCGATGTTTCTAAACTCTCTCCCTCCCTTCCACACTATCTAAAAAAAAAAAATCAATGGAAAAATATCCTCGGGTGAGGATTAACAAAAAAAAAGAAAAAGGCAAGTTGAAGTAAAAAGATGGAAAATAGCAAACAGCAGACATAATTTATTGTGGCTATATTAATGTCAGACAAAGTAGATTTCTAGATGAATATAACCAAAAATAAAGAACATTTCATAATGAAAAAGGTCAATTTGTCAGAAAGATATAGCAGTCCTAACTATGTATCCACCTACTAACATAGTTTTACAATATGTGAAGCAAAACTGACACAGCTAAAAGGAGAAATAGGGAAATTTGCAATTGATTTTGAAGATTTTAACATCTCTTATTTATTTTAATATATATATTTTAATTTCTCACCAGAGGATATTTTTTTCCATTTATTTTCAAATAGAGTGGGAGGGAGGTAGAGCGAGAGAGAGAGAGAAACATCCATGCGAGAGAGGCACATCAATGAGAGAGACACATCAACTGTTTGCCTCCTGCACAACCCCGACCAGGGCCGGGGAGCGAACTGCAACCGAGGTACGTGCCCTTGGCTGGAATTGAACCTGTGACTCTTTGGTTCACGGGCTAACACTCCAATCGCTGAGCCAAATTGGCCAGGGCTATTTATTTTAATTAAA